AAATAAGATAATTAAAAAATTTGTTCAATAGAAATAAAAACGTTCAATTTTGAGTTAAGATTTTATATTCGGTGTTTACATTATACATTATTCATAGAAAAACATCAAACCTATCTTAAAAACCTGTTTTCTGTCTCTTTCGTTTACACGAAATAATCAATTTGAAAGAATGTGACAAAATTTTGTAATAGTTAATTTGTAGAATGTTTTAGTTTTTATGAATAAGTTCTTCTCTTGTGACCTTGTTTATTATAAAAGATATTTACAATAATTAAACCATAGACAGAATAATACCTACTCTACTAGTACCTAGGATCTATATTTGTAATTATTTTTCAACGTTCTTAATTTGAACTACAATATAGTTTTTAATAATATTTCAATTTGGAATACTGAAAAAAAAATTATTCATTGACCTGCGATAATAACGCTTTTCCATTGTAATAGCTACCTAAATTAGCAAGTAAAATGGTACAGTTTATGTACCATCAAAATATATATTTCTCCGAAAATCCCTCGTTTCATTTAAATAACATACACATACTTTTCCATGAATTAATTTAAATGTATTGAAAAAAAAAAAATACAGTAACAGAAAAGTGACAAAAAATGACTTACGTCGGTTCATACTGAATCCGGAATAGAGGCGACCCTAATTCGTTACTTATCTTCGTGTGCGTGTGTATATTTGTGTGTATTGATAAAACGCTAGGGTTGGCAGCAACAATCTATTTTTAATTATTATTATTATTATTCCTTTTGATCCAAAATATTTTCGTATTTTCATAAATGTATAAAAAATATAAGCATTGTGAACAAACATTAATATTTTGTATATTTCTATGATGATTCGTCATTTTCAATACTGTTCAATACATTTTCAATACTGTCTTAACATTCTCTTGTTTGACCAATAAATCAAAATTAATCAAAATGTAGGTAAATTCTAAGTAGTATATAAAAAAAAAAGGTACCATGACATTTACGTTATACTAGCGATACGACTCGGCTCCGCACGGGTAGACATAATTTTCGAAAATAATATAAGTAAGTTTATAATTTATAAATCCAAAAACTTTTAGCTATATACAGCTATTATCAGCTAGTAATTTAGACTATATGTTATTTTTAAAAATCCTAAAGAAGTTGGGCTGAATCGCTAGCATGTTATAAGATAAAATACAGCTTAGTTCCTATTTCTCAATAGTAAAATCTCTGCAGGTAACGTTTTTTCTTAGCATAATTCGTTTGTCCTTTACTTATCTATTCCAGGATTCAAAACTGTTTAAATTTCTGTTTTCATTAAATTTTGAACATACATACTAATTCATTTTTTAACTGAAACTTTATGCTCGTATAAGAACATAGAAATCTACTTAGAATTTCACTGTGCATTAAAATTTAAATAAATAAATAAAATCAATATGAACAGAATGTTACAGAATTGTGACGAAACAAAAATTATATACAAAAAAAAAAAAAAACTTTTGAGCAGGTACAATAAATTGAATATTTTATAGAAACAGTGTCAGACTCAAAGAAATGCTGATTACATAATCTATTTAAACACATATATATATATATATATATATATATATATATATATATATATATATATATATATATATATATATATGTATATATATATATATGAGACCGTTCACCGGGCTCAATTTAGAGCAGTCATTACTTTTAAAATTTATTTTTATCTTTAAAATAAAAATTTCAATTTGATATTACAGTGAAATCTTTACTGTAAAAATCAATTTGAGCTAATTTTCTAATAAACTTAAGTCGGAAATTTTACAAATTAAAATTTGTAAATACATAAAACAGTAATTTTGCAAAATTATCAAATTAAATTAACAAATTAAAAATTGAATCGGCCCCACTGTCGCTAAATCGTCATATTCACCGAACAACTCCTTAAGACGTCGATATAAATAAACTTTGTTTAAAATTAAAAATAAATTATTTATCATTTGATCAAGTTTAATTTTTAATAAAAATTAATAATAATAATAATAAAGTAAATAATGTACAACCCTGTACAGTTTAGTTTGCATTCCGCTCGCTCGCCGACACGCGCGCACAATCAAGTACAATACTCGACTACCACGAAAGAATGTTATAGATACGACCAGATTTTTAATATTTACAATTTACAATTAATATTTACAATTTACAATTTTATAATATAATATTTAATATTTTGTAATAATATTGTACACCGCTCTACCAGCTGACGTTGATGCTCCTTTCCACTTCGGGTGTTGCTGCAAGAGAACTCTATTAGAGTTAAGCTCGCCTTTGTACATTTGATTACTACTGTCATATTCTTATAACTGGTGTGTACAATAAAGAATTAAATAAATAGAATAAAATATTTTACAAATTCCTTCCTACACAATGGATTTGTTACAGAAAGCGGTCATCCTCGATACCTGTCGCATAGTTAGAAAATATCTTTCCCCGTCATTGTCATCGTCCGCATGTAGAATTTAGAGTCAACTATGCTTGGCTGAAGCCCGCATGGCTGAACATTTTACCCCCACAAAAAGGGAGATTTTAAATACAAATATATATTATAATAATAATAATATTCGATTTTTGTTTACAACACAGGGGGCAAACGAGCATGCGGCTCACCTGACGGTAAGTGACTACCGCCGCCCATGATCACCCACAACACTAACGGCATTGCAGGTGTGCTGCCGGCCTTTTAAAAAGGAATATACTCTTTTCTTGAAGGTTATGTTGTTTTCATCACAGTGAAATACGATGAGATATGCTTATGTTAAAGTAATTAAATTATAAATATAATTAACTGAGAGGTAGGTATAAGAATATATGTACAAATACAAATACAAATGTCTTTATTGTGGATGATAGGTCGAATTAAGGTATTACATCAGTTAAATAGTATCTCCATGTCCTGCTATATAAGCGTACAATATACGGAACAATTAGAAATAAAGTACATGTATTATTTAACAGTATAACAAACATAACATTTAAAATTATATAGTGAAACAAAATAAATTAATATGAGACATTATTTTTTACTGATGATCACTATTTATCTATATGTATTACAGGTCATCAAATGTCGTGTCAGTGTCATCGTTCAGATAATTTCAGAAACCGCTCAATCGATTTACAATTAAATTTTTATAAATATATATTGTTTACTCCATCTTGAGATATGACACGACCTGCCGCGTCTATTTTTAACTCGATAAGAAAACAAAATGGCTTCGGTACAATAGCGATATGAGGAAAAAACATAGTTTTCCGAATCTGTGCAACCGCTGCGGTTTCACACGTTTTGACACTTTTTTCTATTATTTAAATACATGCATTTATTTTATTATTTTACATTTTATTGCACCAGATAAAAAAATAATAATAAATACAATATATATTAAGGAGAAGTGATACAAAAGGCGGCCTTATCGCTAAACAATTTCTTCATGGCACATATGGTATTTTTTTTTTCAAGTAAATTTATTTATTAACATTTTTTAATAGTAATTTTCTTTATTTCACCGACTAGATTCAAAGCTTAGATTCAAAAATGTGTTAATTAATTGCCAATAATATTATTTTAAATTTAATCTATAATACTAATTTTTCAATGAATTTTTTATAATTAAAGAAGTACTCTTTTTTAAACAGACTTAAAAAAAAAGGACTTATATTTTTTATATTTTTTTTTTCTCATAACTCCGTCAGTTGTAAATCGATTTCGAAATTCCTTTTTACCTAACTTGTAGATTACTTGTGGATTAGTTCCATTGAAATGTTATCAAATTCGGTCCTGCACTTTAGTTTTTAAGTCATATTTACTTTGTTTGTCACAACTGAAATCGGTTTTTTTAGTGGGACACAATCTTTAATTATATTTTTTTTTATTTAAATTTTTTGTTTAACAAATAATCCATTTATAGTTTCGACTTGTATATATAGTGTAATTTTTTTTATTTATTTTTTATTTTAATATTCATTATTGTATTTATTTGTTACATATTATTGTAACACCTATTCTCTTTACCTCTTATATATTTTTTTGCCTCCCACTTCTTTTATTCAATTAAAATTTGTTTATAATGTGTCTCGATACCTTGACGCCTGTAGTTTTATTCAATATAACTGAATTATTTATTATATTGTAATTAATATCAATACTGTTGTACAAGGCATAATAAGTGAAAGGCAAGCCTTATGAATTATATCGTTTAAGTTTTATTACGTCTACGGTAAATCTCTATTTACGTACACATTTAAACTTTTATATTGTTTTATGTAATTTATACCTGTTTACAAAATTATTTTTTTTTTTTTTTTAAAGGAAATATAGATCCATATCGTCCTTCCGCTAACTCACACACGCGCACAGATAACCTAACATTACAAATCGCTATATACCAATAGCTTATACATTATGTAAGCAAACGCACACCAACGTGTATTTAACGCTCACAGGCACAGGAAAGTTTTTAATTTTAAAATCGTACCGAACGCTAAGTAGCTCTGTGTTGTTAGTAATTTGTTTAGAATGATTTTTTTTAATAATTGTTCCATATTTAAATTGCTTATTTATAAACAGACTTTATGCTTCTACTTTTGAATGAATGAAATGTCGCAACTGTGTATTCGTAATTTTTTTTTTATTGTCATTGGTAGAGAAGCATACATTCATATTTTATACAGTTTTGGAAAATGTTTAAGTAAATTGAAAACGTCCAACGCACATAATATAGAAATTGCTACAATAAAATGTTTCTTTATGTACTATATTTAAAATATTGATTTGAAATTTTATTGTAGAATTATGCACTTACATATAAAGAGGGTTTTTTTTAAATCTATAGATAATAAAGTTAGATTCGATACTAGCGAGTTCCCAGCATGGGTTGTATTTTGTATAGAAAAAAAGTAAGAAGAGTCAGGTCACTGCTTAGTGTATACATCGTTATCAGCGTATTGTGATCTGTACAGATGGGCAAAGCACCGGGTTTAAACCCGGTGCTTTGGTAAAAACCCAATAAACACCCATAAACTCCCATAATCACCCAAAAAAATAGGTTTTTACGTATTTTTTTGAAAATATGTAAGTAATACCAATAAATTATTTTTATAAATTGTATTGATCAATTCTACAATATTAAATAAAACGTTAACTAATAATATTTCAGGAAATTTTAAAAATCTATATATAATAAAATGAAAGTAATTAATTTTCAGTGTTTTCATGTTGCAGTTGATCAACATGTTGGCCTTTTGCTTCCCGTAGATACTTTAAAATTTCTTCATAACACCTCGTTCGCACACATGGCCGTATATATTTAAATTCTTGAGCCACTAACAGTCCGAAATACTCATTTCTTTTATCCTCTTCTCCATAAATTAAGCATTTAGAACAGTTTGTTTCTTCTTTCAGTAAATTTTCTTTTACTTTATCCTCGTTTTTTTCTTTGTTGCGACGACGCTGGGTAAATCATCTGGACACTGGGTCTCACTATCGCCAAATATATTTGGAGATCGGCTTCGGCTACGGCTTGGCAGACATTTTTTTCTTTCTACAATTTTAAATTAAATTTATTAGAATAAATGCTTCGAACACACGCGATCTAAGTACCTTTTGTGTTTATTATACCTTACCTACCTAGGTATAAAAAGAGTACTTACGTAGATTTTCTTTTATTAACTGTTTTATACGAAGATCTTGATCTCTCAAATTAGCATCCATTTTACTTCCAGTGATTATCAACTAAATTAATAATCCACAAAGTATTAAATAACGTTTTTATGAAATATTTAGCACAAAAACAATACCCTTTAAATATCGATCGTCAGTAACTGTGGCTGACTTACCTATATTCTAGCAAGCAGGACTGCCAGATGTGAAGGGGAAATCCCCAATAAATTGTTGCATGTGACTGATGATGTGAGCATGTTCGTTTCATAATAAAAATGTTGCCAGGTAACCAAAAAGTCGTATGTTTTTGTGCGAATTACGATCATAATCTTTACGATCGTACATTAAAAAATAGACAAATAATAGTATGAGTACGATTTAAATCGTATATCTGTCAACCCTGCTAGCAAGACAGCGACAAAATCACGTTGCATAACAATGTAGCCCAAGCTTATATCTTATGAAATATACGGAAGAGATACGGACTTAGAAAAAACAGAAATGTTGTTCTTTGTGGAAGTCATTGATGAAATTCTATGTATTTTAGCCCGCAAACTTTCTTCAAACAAAAACAGCGCCATCTAGTATCGAGTTCTGTAATTATCTCTTTGTTTATGGATTTGAAGTAAGACCGCCACGCATGCAATACATTATGACTGGGGATTCCCCTATTCGTCGACGCTGAATATGAGGCGACGACAATCACTGTCAAACGTGTTCACTATTACTCTGACTCTGGTAACGTGACTTCCTGGTAACGTGTTAGGTAGGAAAAGCAGTAAAAAAGTGCATATTAAGGGAGCAGATTTGAAATAATATTTATACTTAACAAGAAATAATTAAAGGTAAGTGGATTTTTGAATGATACAATTATATCATGATCACTTAACAATTTTAACTTAAAATTAGATGTATTATTACAAGCTTTTATTTAGCTTGCGTTATGTAAATAAAAGTATGTAGGTATGTTCGTATGTTGATGCAATTATCCTCAATCCTCAACCGACTGGGATAAAATTTTCCATACACGTTTATTTTGGATGATAGTGCATAGTTAGCTGAGAGTCGTCATTGGATAATAATGGTGGATAGCCTAAGATGTGTACTAGATATTTATTTTTAACATAATATGCGTAAGTACCTAATCGAATTAAAGAAGTTGCTGAGAAAAATACAGAACAATACGATAATAAACTAGCGTCTGCGTTTAATCCTCCGAGGAGATGTAATTTTACAAAGGCTTTTTGTATTTATTTTATTATTTTTTTAATAAATTTATTGTAAATAACAAGAAATAATCATTGTAAAAAAATAGGCACTCTATTGTTGAATTTTCGTCAGACCAACTAATCATCGTTCATTTTTTTAGGTTCAATGGGGAGACCTAAAGATTTACGCATATGGGAGCACTACCGTACTTTACCAAACAAGTCTGTTTCTTGCAAGCTTTGTAATAAGGTCTACAAATTCAGTAATGCTGCCAAAATGCTTCAACATCTTATCACTTGTCCAAAATCTCCAGAAACATTAAAAGACTCTATGAAACTTATAAAAGATAGCTCGTCCAAAACCAAAATGTCTGGACTGTCAGAGATAGAGACAAATGATTCTTTTATAAGCCCCTCGTCGTCTGCTAACACTACAATAAATGCTGAGTTTCAAGACACCGATGATCATATAAAAACAGAATTAGCGAGAGCTATATTTGTAACAGGGACGCCATTATCGATGGTGCAACATCCTTTATGGATACAATTTTTCGAAAAATTGCAACCAAAATTTAAAATACCTTCACGTAAAGCTTTAGCGACAAAATACTTAGATAAAATATATAGAGAAATGCGTTTTGAGTTAAATGAGGAACTAAATGCTTGTAGTTACTTACACCTTCAGTGCGATGGCTGGTCTAATTTAAGAAATGAAGGAATAATAAACTTTCTTATATCAAAACCTCAACCTGCATACGTTAAAAGTTTGAATACAGAAAGTAATCCTCACACTAGTGAATACCTTAGCCAAGAAGTTGAAAAAGTAATGAAAGTGTATGGAGCAAATAAGTTTCTTGTACTTATTGGCGATAACGCTAGAAATATACAAAAGGCATTCGAATTAACAAAACTCAAATATCCACATGTTGTTCCTCTCGGTTGCTGTGCACATATCCTTAACTTGTTGTGCCAAGATATTGTAAAGATACAAGAAGTAACTGTGTTTATTATGCAAGCCATAAATATAATAAAAACTGTTAAAAGGAGTCAACGATTAAGTTCCTTGTTGATAAAATCAAGGCAGGGTGAAGATTCTACACAAACACTAAAATTGCCTTGTGCTACAAGATGGGGAAGTCATGTTACTTCGTTAAAAAGTTTGAAAGCAAATAAGATAGCTTTGCAAATATTAACAGTTAGAGAAGATGTGGTAATTTCAAGAGATATTAAAGATTTAATTCTAAGTGATGATTTCTGGACGAAGACAGGGGAATGTATAAGTATTTTGGAACCAGTCACTGAAAGCATATTTTACTTAGAGAGCGACCAGAATCGTTTGCATCGCACATACATTACATTTAGAGATGTACAAGCTAAGATACGTTTTGCATTAAATGAGATTTCGACATTGAGCGAAGAAAGCAAACAGCAGATTCTAACATCAGTATCTTCAAGATGCAATATGGCAATGAGGCCAATACATTTTGCAGCATATATTCTAGACCCCAGGACTCTAGGAGTCGAACTTACTCAAGAGGAAGAACTTAAGGGTATGGAGTTTATCTACAATTTAAGCCAACACTTAAGTTTGTCAAATGTAATGGCAGATTTGGCGTGTTATAAAGCTAAAGAAAACTTTTGGGCCAGAGGATTTGTATGGAGCTCATTAGATAGCATTGAGCCCCTAATATGGTGGAAAGGTATTTGTGGTTCCACTGAGTTAAGCAAAGTAGCGATTCGTATTCTATCAGCTCCCTGTACTTCGGCAGCCACTGAGCGTTCCTTTAGTATCCAAGGCTACATACATAATAACAAAAGAAATCGACTTACAACTGAAAGAACTGAAAAAATTTCATTCATTTGTTATAACTGGAATCTTAAACATAAAGCTGAATGCGAGGACATTCAGTTTAATGAAGAAAATACCTTAGAAGCTTTCATTGAGCAAGTAAATGAACATAACAGTTTAGACGAAATAGAGCCTATCGAACCTATACAATTCATCGCTTGTAATAACTCTGAATCTGACAGTGATTGACTGTAGTTTTACATTTTACTTTCATCTCTTTCTTAATAAACTCAAAATCAAATTAAAAGTTTTTTATTCTGTAGGCTGCATAATAATATTGTCTATGTCCAGTATAGTGGACGTCTTGCGGCTGAGATGACGATGATGAAGTACAAAATCATAAACACCCAAAAATTTGGGTGTTTATGGGGTTTAAACCCAATAAACCCAAAACACCCGGTTTTTACCCACCAGACTTTAAACCCACCCAGGTGGATTGCCCATCTCTACACTTGGGAGAATATGGTACTGACATCTAGGTGAGAACAGTAGTAAATGAACAACTTACTCTTTTAATTTTCAGTAGTTTACACTAGATAGCGTTTGGTATTTTGCATTCATCTATTATTGTATTTTTAATTTTGATCCGATATATTATAAATAATTTGATATTTTTTTATTTGAATAATATATTAAATTTATAATTCTTCTTTTCCGCCCACGCAGTTAATTGCCAAAATTCATGTAGGTGGCAAAATTTAATGGCTACTATAATACGACTTTTTTGTGTAGGTACTCCTTTCGCTAAAGTCCGGTGAAGTACGTTCAGAATCAAAATGTTTTCTGACACATACGTCAATATTCTTATGCAATTTAAAATAAATGTGACTGAAAATATAAAATCAAATAAAGAAATATATTGCTATTGATTAAATTATGTTTGTTCTATTTTATCGATTGTAAATTATTTAAAAAAATATAATCACATTACAATATGCGAAGATAATATTTTACTTTTTACGCTTTTGAACACGACATTATGACATGAGTTCCGAAATTTTTAATTTAGCCGTATAATCCACTATTGATGTATGGGAATTCCGAGATAATAGTTTGTTTTGACCGCAATACTAACGATTTGCTAATTAATATATTTATGACAGACATTTCAAACTTTAGTGTATTAGTGTCTGTATAGTTTTTATTTGTTAAAAATCAAGACAACGCCGTGGACCCCAACATAAACGGTATGTAAATATTCCCTCACGTAATTCGCAGTTCGGCTTAGAAATGCAAATTTTATTTTGCTATATGAACGTAACAAAATATTTATATAATTGTTTTATATTTATTTTAAATTATAGATCTTGTAAAGTAATTTTTATGTTTTTATTTATTTTATTTAATATATTTAGTATATATTTTGTTTTCCTATTTGATGAACAGTTTTAACATGTTTTTTGAATTTTCATTTAATGTTAATAGTGCGACATATTAATTTTTTTTTTTACAATATTTTCCTTAATTTTTTTAATACCAATTGCCCAAAAGACAGTTTGGAATAATTGGTATTCACGATATCCTGAAGCACCACTCTCTATTTCTAAAATTACTATTTTTTTTTCCTTTAAAAATCAAAGAAAAGAGTATAAACAAAGTTTTTAGTAGATATAATATAAACTAAAATATTTCTTGCCTGATTTTTTCAGTTAAAATTGTATTTTGAACTGAGAGGTATATTAATATAAAAAAATACTATTTAAAAATGTTTAATAATTAACTTGAATGGTAAATTATTTTATTAATTTATTTATTTTAATATAGTATATATATTTGGGTTCACCGTACTATATACTTACTGAATTTATATACAGGCTATCCCAAAAGTGGATGTCAAGACGAAATTGGATAATACAGTATTGAAAATAAAATTACCACAATTTAAGAAATAAATTAACAAGTGTCATACCCTTTTTTAGAATCCTTATCAAATGCTCCAACTTTTAAAGTCGCTCACCAAACTCACCTAGTATATTTATTTCAATAATGTTGCTCAAAACAGGACTCAGTATTAATTTTGAATCTTTGGTCGGCCGAAATATTTAAATTTACTTCCAATCTGAAGCAGTTTTAAATTTTAGTTCAGACTTTAAAGAAGTGTTTGGGATTACATAACAAAAAAAAAAATTATTAAAAAAGTAAATGTTTGTAGTAACAGAAGTGAATGAAAGATCATCACAGGGTGTAGCGCTTGCTATTCTGTAATGGCCAAATAGGCTCGAAACTTTATGTAATACAAGACCACGGCTACCTACCCTATTTAATGCAAATAAATTTATTGTCATTAGATTTTCCCATCTTTTTTAATGTCCATAATTTTTAGAATATGTAATTTTCATTTTTTTTTTTAATATCTTTCTGTTTACTATTATTTACTATATAATTCCGGTTTGACATCGACTTTTGGGACATTCTGTATAGTTTGCAAAAAAATACTATATTTCAGTAACTAATATAGGGTTTTCTTTTTTTTGATGGCTGAAAATGGTATGGTAACCCCGCCTGTGCTAACGGGATACGCTGGCAGAGTACCAGTGAAGGGTGATAGATGAGAATGAAAACAGGCCAGTTAGCCCATCATGATGAATTCATCAGGAATTAACTATGATAGTTTCCAGGGAGAACCGCGAGGAGGTCGACCTGGTTGGGTATATTGCTAGCAATAGGATTCTCAATCTCCATTACTAACAATCCCTTTCCCCCCAACTAATATAGGGTGTTTGCGGACCGTCCAGACTGCCAGTATTTGAATCCTTGCAGAATGATTCACATGCTGGCCAACATACAAAAAAAAAAGTAGGTTAAGATAATGTTATTCATTATAAGTTTTCAATTCAAAGTTCAAAATTTAATTTAATAATTTATATCTGGTACAAACTAAGATTGTTAAAATTTTGTGGGCCCTGGTTGCCTTGATTAAAGACTTTATTTATTTATAGAAAGGATATTTTAAATTATGGATTTAAAGTGGTGAGAATAGAAGTAGGGTATAATGTATTAAATATTACTTCACTGACAAACATGGTGTTCAAAATTAACCTTTTTATATACTTTGACAATTGTGTTTTTTTATAAAAAAGAATATTTAAAAAAACAATTGAAATAGAACAAAAAATACATAATATACTTCTAGTCAACAGACGGTGATTTTATTTTACAACTAATATAATAAATAATATAAATAATATAATTAAATACTAAGAACCAGCACATATTACAAACACATGGTTTATTAAAAATAGCTATTTTTAACAAGATTAGTATTATAAAACCTGTATACTATATAGATCCTTAATTTCATTAAATACCAAAAAAAATCTATACTTAAAAACATAATTACCTAATTTTATGTTTCCACTGTTCAGTAATGCACCGCCTACTTATTTCTCTGTTCGCCCAATGATCGACTGGTAGAGAACACCGTCCGGTGTTAAGTCCGCCATATGTACATAGAATTACACTGTGCGTTAAAGTTCCTAATCAGTGAACGTTCAGGAATGGCAACACATAAAAAAATTAAACTGCTCATGTCTATAGGCAACGGTTACCACTTTCTGTCAGCTTGTTTGCCGTTCTAAGTTGCATTAAAAAAAAAAATTTTTCTAGCTTTTACCCGGGACTTAGTCTGTGTGACCAGGATATGTTTTTTTATGCAATTTACAATGGCAAACAAGCTGACGGCCCACCTGATGGAAATTGGTAACCGTCGCCTATAGACATGAGCAGTACCGTGGACATAACAGAGTATACTGTTTCGCCCATGACACCCCCCATGCTTTGCCATTCCTGAGGACTCAGGTGTTATTCCTCTGTACTGTGTAAATTCACTGCCTTATTACTTTTAATTACCTTGTTCCAGTTGAGATGTGTACGCCGGAGACATGGCGGGGCGGTGGCGTGGCTCGTTCGCCGTCGCACGAGTCCGTCACCACCGAACTGTCGCTGTTCAGCGTCTCCTCCGCCGCCTCTGACGCTAGGGTGCTGAGGTTGCTAGCTTGCAAGGTATTTTTTAAGGTTTTTTACAACACAGAGAACAAACGAGCATGCGGCTAACCTGATGGTAGCGGGGAAAGGGATTGTTAGTAATGGGATCTAACTGACCCATTGCTAGCAATACACCCTATCAGGTCGACCACCACGCGGTTCCTTCTGGAAATCATTTTGATTCCTTGGTGAATTTGTCACGATGGGCTAACTGACCTGCTTCATTTTTGCTTATCATCCCTCGCTGGTGCCCCGCCGGTGTATACCGATAGCTCAGTCGGGGTTACCATTCCAATATCATCATTTAAAAAAAAAGCACCTGATAGTAAGTGACTACCGCCGCCCATGATCCCCCACAACACTAACGGCATTGCAGGTGTACTGCCGGCCTTTTAAAAGGGAATATGCTCTTTTCTTGAAGGTTACGGTTCGGAAATACTGCTGCTGGAAGTTGATTCCAAAGAGTGGTTGTGCGTGGAAGAAAGTACCGCGAAAAACTCACAGTGGAAGACCGCCTCTCTATTGTAATTATTTTACACTAGTCGTTTCCCGTGGCGTTGCCCGCTTCTAACTATGTTGTTCCCGTATATCATTCCCATTGGAACTCTTCATGAATTCAGCCTTATATTGTATTATATACTTAAATGATAATTACGTACCTAATACCTTCGTAAAGTGTCAACCAATTCAACTGATCGGTTATTTTATAGCATTTTATATGTATAGTTTTTTTTTTTATATATCTTCCATGTACAGACAGCGACCAGTTACGATTTTATTATATGTATTGATATATGTGTACACGGCGGACTTAATGCTGAAAGCATTATCTCCCAGTCAACCGTAGGCAAGTGGCAGAATACACGCATGTGGTACTACTAATTATTGATATACATACATACTAGTTTTTTTATATACAACTTAGAATGGCAAACAAGCTGACGATCCATCTGATGTAAAGTGGTAACCGTCGCATATAGACATGAGCAGTACCGTGGACATAACAGAGTATACTGTTTCGCCCATGATACCCCCCATGCGTTGCAATTCCTGAGAACTCAGGTGTTATTCCTCTGTACCCAGTAAATTCACGCCATACCTTACCCTTCAAACCGAAACACAGCCATGTAAATACGACTACTTCACGATAGAAACATGAATGGGACAGAGGTGGTCAAGCAAACGACTTTTGTACAAAGTTTCCCTCTGGTAGGTGGTGGCCAGTATGTAAATATAATATACTACAGTGTTTAATGTAATAATAATACCTAACATACATTATACAATTACATACAATTTTTGGCTGCTAGAAGCTGGAATCCCAAAAACTCGGTATGCTTAATAGAGCGAAGCATTACTTCACACCGGATCAGCGATTAATGCTCTACAAATCGCAAATCCGGCCCCACATGGAGTATTGTTGTCACTTTATCGGCGGAAGCACCTAGTCACTAGCTTGAAACCCTCGACTCAGTGCAACGACGAGCTATGAGAATTGTCGACAATCCGGGCACTTCCCTCGATAATAAGTCAAGTCTGGGGATTCTTGGCGTCGATATATCTAGCACCGTCCGTTCGAAGGCTCTTTTGTCATATTTGTGAATCACGAGTCACTTTTACTCAGTCTCTTGTTCTAATTGTGATGTGTGGTGATATTTTTCTCTATTTGTTTCAGGCCGGCCAAGGTCCAGACCCAAACTTGAGGGTGGCCAGTCCAAATCCAGACAGCAAAGCTTTGAAGTAAGTAACGTCATGACATGACGCAAGATCCGAAGTGTGCACTTGGTACCAGTAGTGATTTTTGTGTAATTGTATAATACTATATTTATATTATACAATAATGATATTAATACAAATAAATATTGTAAATTAGCTATATAAAATCACATATCTGTATGTAAATTCAATAGTCAATATTTGCATGCCATTTATTGTGGCGGAACATAATGGACATCTTGTAAACTTGACAAATGCAACCGTGAAGCAGTTGTGTTTGCACGGCTGTGTTTCGGTTTGAAGGGTGGGATATGGCGTGAATTTACTGGGTACAGAGGAATAACACCTGATTCCTCAGGAATGGCAACGCGTGGGGGGTATCATGGGCGAAACAGTATACTCTGTTACGTCCATAGTACTGCTCGTGTCTATAGGCGACGGTTACCACTTTCCATCAGGTGGGCCGTCAGCTTGTTTGCCATTCTATGTTGTATATAAAAAAAAGTATACTCAATATTGCTAGCAATGGGACTGTGATTGCCAGTGGTGAGTTCGTTACAATGTTGGTGATGTGTATGGCCGCGCGGCAGGGTGCAGTCGTCGCTGCGGCTGCAGGCGGACACGTGCCGCGAGCTGCTGGCGGGCTGCGCGGCGCTGTGCGGCCAGCTCGGCCTGCGCCGCTCGTTCAGCGCGGGCGACGTCGCCGCCGGCAGCCGCCGCCGCCTGCGCAGGTCTCAAAACTCGACCGTTTCAATTATTTCTCAGTATGGGGCCATATCTATGTTGATGCGTGCAATGCAGTGACATTGTTGGTTAACTAAGAAATTTAAATAATTGGTAATTTACCACTGCACGTACTTTTTTTTTTTTTAATGGGTGATAATGGTATGGTAACCCCGCCCGTGCGGTCGGTGTACAATGACGGGGCACCAGTGGTAGATGACTGATGATGATGAAAACAGGTCAGGTAGTCCATCCTGACGAATTCAACTAGAATTAGCCACGATGGTTTCCAGGGGGAACCATGTGGAGGTCGACCTGACAGGGTATATTGCTAATAATGGGGCTAATTACTAACAATAAAAAACAACAAAATACGCTGTCGGAGTACCAGGGAAACATGATAGGTGAGGAAGTAAGCAGGTCAGTGACAAATTACACAAAAATTAACATATATTTTTATATATATATTGCTAGAAATTGGGTTGTTATACCCTGTTACTAATTAACCTTCCCCCCCTGTATAAAAGTCGTCTGCTTGGGCACCTCTGTCCCACTCATGTTTCTGCCGTGAAACAGTTGTGTTTGCATGGCTGTGTTTCCGTTTGAAGGATGGGTATATAAGGCAGTGAAATTACAGGGTACAGAGGCATAACTTTAGTTCTTAGGCAACGCATGAGGAGTACCGTGGGCGACACAGTATACGAGATATATATACTTATGTTTCTAATACTTACGTTCATGACTATATGCGACGGTTGCCATTTTCCATCAGGTACGCCGTAAGCTTATTTCCCGTTTTAATAAAAAAAGTAATTTATAAATCCAAGCAGAAGGTACCAGGCTAACATGTGTTCTAAGGAGATATTATTCAGTTAGCTCTTCCGCGGAAGCAACTTTTTAAGACAAGTAGGTTTTTAATTGTATTTTTTATCATAAGGAGACTTTGTACAAAAGTCATTTGCTTGGGTACCTTTGTCCCATTCGTGTTTCTGCCATGTAGCAGTTGTGTTTTCATGGCTGTGTTTCGGTTTGAAGGGTGGGATATGGCGTGAATTTACAGGGTACAGAGGAATAACACCTGAGTCCTCAAGAATGGCAACGCATGGGGGCTATCATGAGCGAAACAGTATACTCTGTTATGTCCACGGTACTGCTCATGTCTATAGGCGACGGTTACCACTTACCATCAGGTGGGCCGTCAGCTTGTTAGCCATTCTAAGTTGAATAAAAAACGCCATCACAGTTTTCACAGTTGTGAAACGCGGATTTCACAGCTGTGAAAACTGTGATTTTGTATTTATGTATTTTATTTTAATTTCATGGTTTCCACAGCGCGACGTCGGAGGTGGGTCTTTGCGCTGCGCTGGAGGCTCTCACCCTCACCGCCGCGTCTAGGTCCTGCAGCACGTGGGTAGCTGGTATGTCGGTTTACCATCCATATTTGATTACAACACTTGGGGCAAACGAGCATGCGGCTCACCTGACGGTAAGTTACTACCGCCGCCCATGGTACCCACAACACCAACGGCATAGCAGGTGTACTGGCGGCCTTTTAAAAAGGAATATGCTCTTTTCTTGAAGGTTATGTTGTCGTATCGGTTCGGATATGTCCATAGTAGAGATAATGAAGTACCTTAGTTGTTCGGGCAGTATCCAATTTAAAAACTTATTGGTTACACGGTACACATTTATTTAACTGAACCTAAATGAAGTTAGATAAGTAAGAAAATCCAGAATGGAGAAGAATACAGTTTTTTTTTTTTTTTTTATAAAAAAGCAATAAGCAAAAGCGTGCATTCGCCGTCGAGAAAGGTAAAATACGGAGACGCGGTCGGCTGTCGCTTCCACGTACAGTTAGGGCTGCCGTCCGTCGAGAATTCCCCGGATTTGTCCTGGTTTGAGGGTCGTCCGGGGGCCGTCCGGCAAGGGTTTTTTAAAAGGGTGTAACCCGGACACTTCTTGTCGGGGGAAATATATTTTTTGATAGGTAGATTCAAGAAGGCTCGGCAAAATAGTGTCCGGGGAAAAAAACCATATTTCGCCCAAATGTACGGGATTCTTGCCTTGTTTATCCGGTATCGGCAATTTATGTGATGGCAGCCCTACGTACAGTAAAAGTACTTTATTCGCGGTGTACACGTTCCGTAAATATGCCGTGAATATAGAAACCGTGAATATAGAAAGCTGAACCGCTTATAACATACAGTGACGTTAACATTTGATAACACACTTTAGGCGTAGTTGTATTAAGGTCTGTTTACTTTTTTATTACTCCATTTGCCGACACGTTTACAAACTATACCGAATCCTTTTTATTAATACATACCGATTAGATCCCCGAATAGTGAAAACGCTAATAAAGGAGGCGTGAATAAGGAGCTTACACTGTATAGAAAACCGGTTCTCCAAAACACGTCGAACTGCCCATCCCACGCCGTCCCTTAGTCGCCTCTTTCGACACCCACGGGAAAGGAACGGGTGGCCTTTTTTTTACACAACTTAGAATGGCAAACAAGCTGACGGCCCACCTGATGGAAAGTGGTAACCGTCGCCTATAGACATGAGCAGTACCATGGACATAACAGAGTATACTGTTTCGCCCATGATACTCCCCATGCGTTGCCATTCCTGAGGACTCAGATGTTATTCCTCTGTACCCTGTAAATTCACGCCATATCCCACCGTTCAAACCGAAGCAGCCATGCAAACACAACTGCTTCACGGTAGAAACACGAATAAGACAGAGGTACCCAAGCAATCGACTTTTGTACAAAGTCTCCCTCTGGTAATATATAGAATAGGGTAGGACCACACGGCAAAGCTAGCGTTATGGTACTATACATATGAAGTGACGTACAGGTGATATTTATTGTTCCAGTGGGCGGTTCCCAGCTGCCTTCGCCGCAGCGGTCCCACCCCATCCCGCCGCCACACCGGCCCGTGCCCACCGACAACAGAAAGGTGATTTAGAATGTTTTTTTTATACCACAAAAATGATGAACAAGCGTACAGCCTGTCTGATGGTAAACGGTCACTGTAGCCTGTGGACGTCTGCAAACTTTGAGGCGGGTCACGTGTGCGGTACCGACCCTGAAGAAATCTTAATACATCTTGTTTGAAGAACCCCAGAAGTTGATAGTGGAATGATAACTCGCCTGCAATGGGGCAGGAGGAGGGGATTGTTGGTCAGGATTGTCAGGTCGATCTCTCCTTGATCCTTCTTGGAAACCGTCGTGCCGAATTTTAGGTGTACTCAACTGCCAACTGGTCTGCTTTCATCCTCGCTTATCACTTTTACCTGGTACTCCACCAGCGTATACTGGTAGTACCAGGAAGGCATAATAGGTGAGGAGGTGAGGATGAAAGCAGATCAGTTAGCACTTCGTGACGAAATTCACAAAAATTAACCACGGTAGTTTCCAGGTGGGACAACGTGGAGGTCGACCTGACAGGGTATATTGCTAGCAATGGGACTGGTAGTTCCCATTACTAACAATCCCTAAACTCCCCCCCCCCCCTAATATACTAATATTAAATAGTAATATTTAATTATATTTTAATTAGCACACCAAATATCACTTGTTAGGGGAAGGGGATTGTTAGTAATGATGTATTTTTATTTATTTATACAACTTAGAATGGCAAACAAGCTGACGGCCCACCTGATGGTAAGTGGTAACCGTCGCCTATAGACATGAGCAGTACCGTGGACATAACAGAGTATACTGTTTCGCCCATGATACCCCCCATGCGTTGCCATTCCTGAGGACTCAGGTGTTATTCCTCTGTACCCTGTAAATTCACGCCATATCCCATCCTTCAAACCGAAACACAGCCATGCAAACACAACTGCTTCACGGTTGAAACACGAATGGGACAGAGGTGGCCAAGCAAACGAGTTTTGTACAAAGTCTCCCTCTGGTCTAATTTCCCCATAACTAGCAATACATTCCTATCAGGTCGACTTCCAAGCGGTTCTCCCTGGAAACTATCCTGATCAATTCTAATGTAATTCGTCACGATGGGTTAACGAACCTGCTTTCCTCCTCACCTATCATGTTTCCCTGGTACCTCGCCAGTGTATACCGTTAGCACAGGCGGAGTTACCATTCCATTATCGTCCATTAAAAAAAGTAATTCTTGTTACGGCCATTTATTTTTGTCCTCATTTCACATAAGGTCCGCCAGAACTACATCAAGCGCCGCCTCCTGACCACGTACAGGGCGCTCGAGAGGATGTCCCAGTCGGAGTTCAACCTGGACAGACTAGAGGTATGTACGGTCCCAGCATAGAGTGGACCACCGCTTCCTTTCCCGTGGCTGTCGTAAGAGACGACTGAGGGAGGGCGAGGGACGGGCAGCAGCGTCCCTCTTGAAACATCACCAAAGCCTAACTGCGGTTGCCAAGCGTGGCAACTACTGGCCAAATTCGCCTTATAGGTCTAGACCTATGTCCAACAGTGGACAGTTAAGAGTGTTTGTGATGATGTAATGATGAAATTATGTATATATTGTAAATTTTTTCTTTGACATTATTTTCGTAAATTTGTTGTGAGCTGTAACTGTGGTATTTTTACAGCAGGCAGCAGTGGCGAGTGCAGCGGGCGGGGGGGCCGGCCCGACCACGCTTGCAGTGCCGCCGCCGCACGCGCGCTTCGTGCACCCAGGTACGTGTGTAATGTTGGACGAATTTTACCGAATAAATCAGTTCTTATGCAACTTAGAATGGCAAACAAGCTGTCGGCCCGCCTGATGGTAAGTGGTAACCGTCGCCTATAGACATGAGCAGTACCGTGGACATAACAGAGTATACTGTTTCGCCCATGATACCCTCCATGCATTGCCAAAATCCTTTTACAACTGACGGAGTTATGGGTTGACAAACATAAAAAATACAAGCGAATACAGAACTCTGCTTTTTGAAGTTAGTTCAACCTCAAAACCTCTGTCATTTTTCATTCAAATAAAAAGAAAGTGACTTTGTTTTATATTATTTAGCGATTCATTATTACCATCATCTGTGTCCACTGTTGGACATAAGCCTCCTGGACCGCCATAGGGAACGGTCCCGAGCCACCTGCATCCACTGACCACCTGCAATACATTTTTTTTATTTTATATTTAATCGACTATTACATTATCACAGACACAACTAGTCTACAATGACTATACCGTACCTGATGTAACTTTGCAGAGGCGGCCCACCTGGCGCTCACCGCGGCCGACCTGGAACGCGAACGCGGGCGCCCCCTATCCAAATACGAGCGCAACATGATGATATTCAACTGGCTGCATACACTGGACGAGGCGGCGCCGTTCTAGGAAGCTCTAGAAGGTGACAGAAGTTGGTGTTATCAATAGGTGACAGACGTACATATGTCGTTCTAAAATGGCCATTGTTTTAGATAATTTAAGGTTTTTTTTTAATCGGTATACGCTGGTAGGGTACCAGGGAAACATGATAGGTGAGGATGTAAAGGCAGGTCAGTTAGCCCATCGTGATGAATACACCTGGCGTTCAGCACGATGGTTTCCAGGGGGGACCACGTGGATCTCGACCTGGTAGGCTATATTGCTAGCAATGAGACTGGTGGGGGGAAGGTATTGTTAGCAATGCGGAGTTACAGTAAAAGATTTGTTAATTTCAAAATAATGCCCATTTTAGAGGGACACGTAAAAATATATTGTCGTGAATAACTTCTAGAGGTTTCTAGAAGGCAAAAGTAGCTTCTAGAAGCTGTGTATAGCTTTTTCAAAAGTTAGCTCCATTGATCGGTGATTGCCATCGTCCAATATTTTAATTATATGTAATTTTATTTTATGCAACTTAGAATGGCAAACAAGCTGACGGCCCACCTGATGGAAAGTGGTAACCGTCGCCTATAGACATGAGCAGTACCGTGGACATAACAGAGTATACTGTTTCGCCCATGATACCCCGCATGCGTTGCCATTCCTGAGGACTCAGGTGTTATTCCTCTGTACAGTGTAAATTCACGCCATATCCCACCCTTCGAACCGAAACAATGTCTGTATAAGGGAGTACAGTATTTAAAGAAAATAAAGATAGACAAAATTTTTCAAAATTTCTAAAAAATATATAAATTTTGCCATATGGTATTGAGCTCGCCACTTGTACAAAGTTTTTTTTTTTTTGATGGGTGAAAATGGTATGGTAGCCCCGCCTGCGCTAACGGGATACGCTGGCGGAGCACCAGTGAAGGGTGATAGATGAGAATGAAAACAGGCCAGTTAGCCCATCATGATGAATTCATCAGGAATTAACCATGATAGTTTCCAGGGAGAATCGCGAAGTGGTCGACCTGGTTGGATAGGAATAGGATTCTCAGTCTCCATTACTAACAATCCCTTTCCCCCTACAAAGTTTTATTGTGAAATAATGAATAAATAGATGAAAAAAATAAATTTTAAAAAATTTTGTCTGTCTATCTGTTTTAATGGGTGAATATGGAATGGTAACCATAGATTTTTTTTTAATGAATGATAATGGAATGGTAACCGCACTTGCGTTAATGGTATACGCTGGCGAGGTACCAGGGACACATGATAGGTGAGGATGTAAACAGGTCAGTTGGCATGTCGCGACGAATTTAACAAGAATTCATCACGATGATTTCCAAGGGAAATCGCGTGGGGGTCAACCTGATTGTTAGCAATGGGGCTATTAGACCCCATTACTAACAATCCCTTCCCCCCCCTCTGTCTATCTGTTTGTGTATTTGTTATACACAAAAAATACTAGTTATACGATGTCGTTTAATATATAGCTTCCATACAGAAATTCTGTAAACTTCTCAATGCGTCTAGAACGTTCTAGAAGTTACAAGTGTTCACAGAAGACTCTAGAAGGTATAAAATAATATTGTGTGAGTGTAACACGTTAAATTATTGTATTATAATAATAATAAAAAAATAAAATAAAAATAGAAATAAATTATTAATGCATTGTAAACTTTGGTAAATTTGTAAATTCAAATCTCGAACAAAGACATATTGGGCATATAAAATGTAGCGATAGGATGCATTTATATATATATATATATATATATATATATATATATATATATATATATATATATATATAATAAATGTTGACGTATTTCGAGGACATACGATGCTCTGTCGCTGCATTTTATATACATGAATTGAACATACATTTTACCACTAGGAACACGCTCCTAGTACATTAGGGGTCGTCCATCAATCGAGTGGGGCTATAAGGGAGGGGGGGGGGGGTTATAACATGCATGGCAACCCCGCCCGCGCTAACGGTATACGCTGGCGAGGTACCAGGGACACATAGATAGGTGAGGATGTAAGCAGGCCAGTTAGCACATCGTGACGAATTCCATTAGAATGACAAGCGTGCATGGTGTTAGTAGATCATGCGCGGGCTTTAACGACCGTGTAATTTTAGACATAGTACATTTAAATAAACACACATAATGTTAACAGAGATTTAAAAGAGTAACTGTTGAGTTTCTCGCGGGCTCTTCTCAACAGATAACAACCTTCCGAAGCCTGCAGTAGATTAAAAACAAATGACGATTTAAAAGTGCTTGTAAACAAGTCTATTTGAATAGAGACGATTTGAATTAACCCCGTTAGTTTCTATGGAGAACCGCATGAAACTCGACCTGATATGGGTGGGTGTATTGCTAGTAATGGGTAAATTAGATCCCTTTACTCTTGGGGTTACGGGCCAAAGAAAACGCTTTTTTATTGTGGGAATATACTTTTACTGGAGGTAAACATATAAATCGTATTAAATATTGTAATACACAAAAAAACATGGACACTCTTAAAATAATCTTACAGACAGTACAGAGTAATTAATAGGCAGAGACATTCGCTAATCTAGAGTATACAATCATGGAATCGAGCTGGGAGGCGGCGCTGGCGGCCTCGGCTCTCTCGATTACCGAGAGTCAGTAATCGAGTGATGGCTACACCACGTTAGTTTCTATGGGGAACCGCATGAAACTCGACCTGTTAAGGGTATATTGCTAGCAATGGGTAAATTAGATCCCGTTACCAACAATCCCTTGCAATTTTACACTGCACTCATGATACAACAGTCTACGATGAAATGAAATTCCGAAATTTCGGACTCAATTTCGTGTTTTTGTTTATACCAAAATCGGACCAATAAATGGAGTTTAACATTACGTTCGTCATACATCCTATCGTACGAGTCCAAAGGAACAATATTTTAACATTTTTGATATTTCCAAACGGCATTATGAAATTTTAACATCAAATTTCTGTTTCGTTTGGCTTCGAAATTTCGGAAAACATTTCATGGTAGGCCATCAGGGGTCGGTTTGCAATAATTTGCATTGGCAAGTTGCACTAATATGCGTCTATCGGGGGAAAGGGATTGTTAGCAATGCAGTTTGACAGCCCCATTGCTAGCAATATGCCCTATTAGGTCGAACTCCACGTGGTTCTATCTGGAAACCATCGTGAACAATTCTTGTTGAATTCGTCACGATGGGCTAACTGACCTGTTTCATCCTCACCTATCATGTGTCCCTGGTACTCTGCCAGTGTATACCGATAGCGCCGGTGGGGTTACCATTTCATTATCACCCATAAAAAAAAAGCATCTATCAGAACAATATGGAACCATTATGTCGCTAGTGTCGCAATTCGAGAGTAGGAAACGGCTTAATTCCAATATCTATCTATTGGAACTTATTTCCAAAGTAACTCCAAACGAGGGGAGATTTCGTTAAAAAAAAAACACGTGATTAATGGACGATCCCTTAACAGAGCTTAAATTCAGCTAACAGCGCCATCTACCGCAATTACTATTAAGCGCATCAAACATAAGCATTTTATTTTTTTTAATTTATTCTCATTTAGACTTAAAGAGTTGTGAATTATTAATGGGAGTGAGAAATAATGTGATTGTATTATGTTTTCTTGTTTGATAAACGATATTGGCATGTCTAGCCACGTGAACGTGGCGCCCTCTGGTGACAACAGTCGCTAATACAGGGGTGGCCAGTTTGGTCGATCGCGACTACAAGTCCAGTGGACGGTGGCAAGGTGAACAATATAACATATCGCTAATCCAGCGGAGGATGCTCGGACGCGACGCTCGCACTAATATAAACAAGTAGTCGCCGAGAAGCAGTTTCAGTTTTACGTTCTCCCTCTTAATACAATAAACAATACTGCAACACTACACGCTCGTGCACTGAACTGTGCCGTTACATTTGTGATCTCGTGAAGTATGCAATTGGTAGATCGCACAGGGTCGCGTCGGTAAACAGTTCATTTTGGGTCTGGTCAAGTCGGCCACCCCTGATCTACACGATGCTCTGCGAATATCCGAATAGCGTTTCAGAATTGGGCCCACTGTTGGACTTAGGACATCTCAATATTGCTTAGCGAAAGAGACAAGAAAACATAATAATACCTGATTTTGATTGTCACTTTGTTGTGACGAGAAATGTTAAAACTGTCATGTAAATATTTAAATTTGTATGTCCAAGTGTTTATTGTTAAAATACATTTGTATGTGTATATTGTGGGATACATCTTCATCGTAATCAACCATTAACTGTCCACTGCTGGGCATAGGCTTGGGATGTTTTGCCAGTAGTTGCCACGCTTGGCAGGCACAGGCTTTGGTGATATTTTAAGAGGCACGCCGCTGCCTGTCCCTCTGTCGTTAAGTTCACTAAGTCGCCTCTCACGACATCCACGGGAAAAGAAGTGGTGGCCCAATCTATGCCGGGACCACACGGCGAGTCTATCCATAGATATTTCTATATATCACCCACGTCTACGCTTTGATGACCAGAAACAGTTAGACACTGTTTTTGTACTTTTAATTCTTGGTGATCTGAAAGAGTGCTCAGAGATTATAAATCGAAAAACCTATATTCGGTTTACAGTAAAAAAATTACAACTAAATCTCCTAAAATGATTCTTTTTTTTGGATTTAGTTTTATTTAGTAGTGTAATTGGCAAGTGTTGGTCTCGATATGGCATACACACTAAAGCTGCAAGTTTTGCTCGCCTCGAAATTTATGCAAATTTTTATATACAAAGTCTTTTTTTTTTAAAAAACAAATCGGTTTACAATTCGACGAAGTTATGAGGTAATAAACATAAAAAAAAATACAATCGAATTGAAGGTCCCTTCTCTTACTTCGTTTTAAAGGAGACAATGTCTCCTTAGGAGTTATGTTAGCCTGGTACTTTTTAAGATCCACGGTGATGACTGTTCGCGTTTTTTCCTTTCATCATCATGATTTAAACTGTTAACTGTGTACTGGTAAACATTAGAGGGAAGGGTGGTCCATTCTATGCCGGGACCACACGCTGTATATATTTTCAAATAAAAAAAAATCCAAATTGGTTTACAATTCGACGAAGTTATGAGGTAATAAACATAAAAAAAAAACTACAATCGAATTGAAGGTCCCTTCTCTTACTTCGTTTTAAAGGAGACAATGTCTCCTTAGGAGTTATGTTAGCCTGGTACTTTTTAAGATCCACGGTGATGATTGTTCGCGTTTTTTCCTTTCATCATCACGATTTAAACTGTTAACTGTCTACTGGTAAACATAGGCTTTCGATCGGAGGGAAGGGTGGTCCATTCTATGCCGGGACCACACGCTGTAAGTATATATTTTTAAATAAAAAAAATCCAAATTGGTTTACAACACTTGTAATGTGTCATGTGTCAAGTTGTATTTTTTTTTCTTCAACCGACTTTTTTTTTAATTGAAAAATTTCTTTTTTTTTCTGAAAGGATGTACTTACAGATTGATCCAGGGCTGTAGCTAGACCCAAGTTTGAGGTAGGGCAAAAGAAATTTTTGGAAAGGTAGAAGCCAATAATTAAGAGACTTCGAAAAAGCGAATCTGTCTTATTTTCTTATGGCCTTTCATTTACGGTAGGGCATTGCCCCCCAATGATCTCCTAGCTACGCCCATGGATTGGTCCAATAGAAATTTTATGAAAATCGATACAGTAATCCAGTTTTTAAGTCAAAATAACTTATTTCGTTACATTTTAAGTCTGTTCTTTTTGTGGGTAACAATTTAACTATATTTTCGTTTATAATACTTTTTCTCAAACATGCTTGGAAATGTATTATTTTGACAATCTGCTTCGAGATAAATTAAAATTGCCGTACTGGCCAGATACATGCGGGCAGCGGCCGGCAAAAGTTGTATGAAAATCCATATCTGTCGTGTTTTGCGGCCAGATAAATTACTATGTAAACTCATATCTGTCCTGTAATTTAAAAATGGAATGACCTTTTACTTCGAAACATGGCTACCAAGGAGATAACTAATAAAGGTTTTATTTAAATTTCGAACTGGTATGCAAATAGAAAGCTGTTTATTAAAAAAAAAAAACAAAGGAACATTATGGCGCGTGAAAAATTATTATTGTTCATTATTCGTCATTGAACTTAAAAAGTAAAATTGTGTTTTTGATTTCCGCGCATTGTTTGAGAAAAATACTATACAAGCCTTGGCCACAACTAGGCATTGATGGACTCAAGTATGTGTGCCTCGGCTACGTCTCGGCCCACATTTGTACGTTCGTCCATCAATGCCTCAGTTGCTGGCCGCTGCAGTAATGTACTATTATATGTTATTTGTTATGTAAAGCGAACATTCCATCCCCATATTTATATAAGAAAATTATAAAATATGTTTCCAGTAACCATAAGACAGAAGACAAGTCTAGAGAGTTGGATTGAAAAAATTTTATTTTATTGATTTTGTATTTGTAAATTCACATCCAAAGTTCCTAATAATTGTTTATTCAATTAATATTATGTAATTCCATCACCATTGGCTGTTATATGGTGTTTCACTGTATTAATTGTATATTTTTATGGAAAATAAAATATAATATGTAAGTGACTTTGTTGTTTCTACTCTACGAATCCTGGAATTCAGCGTGCAGGACTTGCGTTAAGCAGCTAGCTCGCTTGTAAGAAACAATTGTATTTGGGAAATTTTAGAGACAAATTAAATGTGAAAGGTCGTTGGACCGCTTGTAAGGTCGAAAAGTCCGAATTTGTCGTCAAAAAGTATTAAAAAATAAAAGGCAAATGTGTCGTCAAAATTATGTCCGTCTTCTTTACGGTCTTTTAATATATATTCTTTATTGCTTAAACGATACATGTAGCGATTAGTTTAACAACTTGTTAGCAAGGGAGGACTTGTCTCTGAAAGAGATCTCTTCCAGCCAACCCAGTGTAGTTGGAGAGAAAATGATTTAGTTTGGGTAATCCAGTGCAGGAAAGGTACCGGTGAAAATAATGTAAATATATACAACAAACACAAATTGTTAATAAATATATAAATAAATAAATACGTAAATAAGTAAATAGATAAATATATATGCATAAGTATAAAATATAGAATTATCATGTACTATTGGTTAAATGGTGGGATTTGTCCTTTTGTTATTGTCCCAAGCTGTCAGTTTTTAATTGTAGATTGTCTTAGCGGCCAGCGAGAAAACCGGTCAAAGAGGCCGCAACGAAATGGTTGTGACTTTTTTTTTTATATAGTTTTGATTCTTGTAAACAAAAAACTGTCATGAACAGCTTATTCGGCTTCTCGCTGGTCGTTGGTTTTTTATTATGAACAAATTTGGCGGGAATTTGAATCCAGAAAAAAAAAATTACGTGTATAGACGTGCATGTATCGTGATTTTATGACTGATGTATATGAAAGCAGGTCAGTTAGGTCATCCTAACGAATTTAACTAAAATTTGCCACGATGGTTTCCAGGGGGAACCACGTGGAGGTCAATCTGTAATGGGGTTATTTGACCCCATTACTAACAATCCCTTTCCCCCCTGACGACGTCAGCTGGTCGGGGTGTAAAGATAAAATAATGACACTGAAACCCCATCAGTCCCCCGTACCGGTACCCCGCCAGCGTGTACCGATAGCACAAGCGGGGTTACCATTCCAAATAGGACACTTTAGAGGACACGCCAAAAGTTCCTACAGACAGCGTTGAATAAAACAAGATATTAAATTAAAAAATTTTTATTCCTTATTTTTAGAGTCAACAAAAATTTACACAAAAAAGATTAAACTCGAAATTTATAATATTTTTTCATACAAAACGTCAATAAGTACAGTCAACAAATACATCAGCATAGGAGCAGTCAAATTTTTACTAAAAATAATGCAAGTAAATTAATTAGTTACCTTCCAACACCATAACAAACAGGACTTTAAATACATTCGAAAACAGATATCCGACCGGTACGGGCGATATCGGAATGGCTGATGACCTTTTTCCCGCCATCAATGTCCAGAGGAACCCAATATATAGATATCGGATCGGTACCCATAATACCCATGTCTAGTATAAACATTACATGGTTATAATTCGTTTTGAATGGAAACTTACTAGCATGATATGCTATGTAAGCTTATATTATTACATTATTCCTTTGTTTCTTTAATTATTTATATTTATTATTTATTTTTTTCACCAATTTGTGACAATCTGGCAATTTTCAATACCAATTAAACATCATTCAATGTCTCTGGCGGATGATTTAAAAAGCTAGCGTTAACGTTGCTAAGTAATATCTATATATCTTGATTACAATATCTATATATCGCCCCGATAATAAATATGTCGAATATTTATTATCCAATATACAATATCGAAATGAATAATGATCACTTTTCCCTCATCAATGACGAGTAACTCAATAAATAGATCAATATCTATATATCGGTCGATATATATATATCGAACTATATATGTGATACCGATATTACCCATGGCTAGCTAGTGTACTGAAACGTTAATCGTAAAATACCTTGCTTGTATCATTAAATCGATAATTTGACAATTAAAATCGAAATACATTAATAGAAACACAATAATGTTTTATTTTATATATATAATAGAACAGTTTATTGATACATATGTATTTTTAAAGTCGAATAAGGACTTTAAAAACACATATTATACATTTTTAAAAACGAAACATGGGTACCTATGTTAAATACCATTTTACATTCACCAGTACTGATAATGCTGACGGTACTAAAATTAAGAATAATATGTTGACTGTATTTTTTTGTGGACCGTACTGCGAATTTTCACCGCGGAGTATTTTCTATTCACATTTTTTTTTTTTATTTGGTCTCTTCACTACCAGTCGTCCAACGAATAGGTCTAGACAGAGGAATGAGTCTTTTTTTTTTTTTTTATACAACTTAGAATGGCAAACAAGCTGACGGCCCACCTGATGGAAAGTGGTAACCGTCGCTTATAGACATGAGCAATACCATGGACATAACAGAGTATACTGTTTCGCCCATGATACCCCCCATGCGTTGCCATTCTTGAGAACTCAGGTGTTATTCCTCTGTACCGTGTAAATTCACGCCATATCCCACCCTTCAAACCGAAACACAGCAATGCAAAACAACTGCTTCACGGTTGAAACACGAATGGGACAGAGGTACCCAAGCAATCGACTTTTGTACAAAGTCTCCCTCTGGTAGAGTAGAGTCTCGAATAATGCAGGAGTACATAAATATATTATGACCTCTTCCCCGTGGGTGTCGTAAGAGACGACTAAGGGAAAGCGAGAGATGGGCAGCAACATCCTTCTTAAAACAGCAAAGCCTAACTGCGGTTGCCAATCCGCTTGCCAAGCGTGGCAACTACTGGCAAAACCCCTCAAGGAGGAGTTTTACGTTTTACGTAGCAGTGGACAGTTAAGGCTGAAATAATGATATAAATATAGCCATTTTGGACTGCCAAAGATGTTGGACTACTGGTTACAAAGGTCTGGATGTATTTTACACTGTCATATACATTATTGTACAAAATCGTACGGATAAATGTGAACGGTGACAAAATCGCAGTGCGAGACAAAGTGAGCAAGTTTTTATAAAACAAAACCAAACAAATACTCAAACCTATTGGTTAATGATGAACCTAGAGGTGCCCGTTTTGTTATATTACAACATTTTTCGAATATTTAAATTCAAAATGCTGCTCGGATATAATTTTTATTTTTGCATTTTTTTTTTATATTTCCAATACGCCAAATTGTTTTAATTATATATATATATATATATATATATATATATATATATATATATATATATATATATATATATATATATGTGAAAATACCGCTTAAATATTAACATTTAAATATTTTCCACAGTATGATCAAATTAAAAAAAGAAAAAAAAAATGCAAAGCAACAAAGCTATACAGCTATGTATTTTTTAAATCAAGTTTTAATTTTCAACGATTACACGAGCATCATTTTTTATTTTACAAATTTCACAATACACGGGGGCTTACTGTTTTTTATACTTTTTTTTTGTTTAATTAAACATATGTATTAAATAACTATAAATTAATTCGTGGTATGTACATGTGGAATGAATCTTTGTTTAATAAATCATATTCAATTAGTAGTGAAACAGATTTTTCTTAATACAATATTCTTCCAAAGTCGTAAGAGAAAAAAAAAAAAATAAAAAAAAAAATGGGAATTTCCATGAAAATATTCATTTGTAATATGATATCTTGGTAACAAAATAAGGGGTTTTATGTAAAGAAAAATACATAATGTAAGTTTTTTTTTCTTTTTTTTTTTTTATTGAACTAACTTAGAATGAGAGACAAGATTTTTGAATCATCAAAATCATTTGTGAGACTAGTAGTACTAGTGGAATAGTGAAGTTATTTTTTTTAGTTCAAAATTAAACTTCTATAGACAGAGAATCAGTAACTATCAACTCATTTGTATTTTTTTTTGACAACTGCATAAATACAAATGTATAAAAGTTACGAAAAATCTCTCAGTATTCTTACCAATGATGATAGTTAGCAGAAATTTTGGGGCAAAAAAACATAATAAACTTGGTATTAGATTCGATTTGATCAAATCTTCTGTAAACAATTATAACTTGTATATTTTTAATTGCAAATCAGTTCCAAATATGAAGTTGTAATTGTAGCGGGCGCCATGACATCGAAATTGGCGCCAAAGCGGATTTTATTTTTTTTATTCATTTAGAACAAATTTGACAGGTCTTTAAAAAGTAAACACGTTAATATTAGATGTAAATTAGTTTTTTTTTTTATATCCAAGGACCTATCAAATTTGTTTTAGCTTTATAAAAAAAATATGTGGAATATATTTTCTTTTTTTTTTTGTTTACATTCAGGACATAAATATTGGTGATAAATTATAGATTTTTTTTAGATACCGGCTAACAAAAACGGATTACACATACAACGGCCAGATTTAATTTTTGGACCAATATTACACGTCGGAGACAAATTTTTTTTTTTGTATCAGTTTTTTTTTCTGATTCATTCAAAGTGCTGATGGAGTGACAAACGCAATGGAATCGATCCGTGGTAGACTTTGTTATCGCTGCCCGTACCCCCGCGCGACGCGTGTGCGTTAATATATCATTTAAAAAATATCACATTTTAAGCAACCTGTGTATAATTGTATATGGGCTATGGAGACTAATTAGTCAGAGTGCATTGTTCATAAAAATATTCGTCAACTGTGAGTTTCGGCTGTATGATCTAGTTACCTTTGCTTGCAGTATATTTTTATGCAATATAAAACTCAAAAAGGACAATATAATTAGAAACAGTACACTCTAATCAGCCAGTCTTGAACTATTGTACATTATGGAGGAATGTATAGGGTAGGGGGGGAGGGTGTGTGTATATCAGTGTATAAATAACTCTGTAACACTATTGCTATGTGGCGCACCGGGCGGGCAACTTGGAACCAGTACGGACAGCTATTCAGTCTTATTTTACAGTCTACAGAACCTTCTCTATGGTCATAAAAAAAATAATCCAAAATATTGTTCCAGGAATTATTTTGTCTATGGTTTCATGAATTGACAATTCTCAAAACTTAGCATCTTTCAACTAACCACAAACAATAAAATGTGTACGATTAAATCCTATCAATTTTAAATATGTATGGCAACACCGGAAGACATGTTTTTGTCTGTGGAATAGTAATGCTGTGAGAATGTCATCTTAAATCTCCCGCCAAAATTTTCGATTCTTTTTATAAGCTTTATTTTTTAAATGTCAACAAGGAGAGAAGGCTCAGACCAGCGCGTCTGCCGCGGACGGATTCTGTCGCGTTTCTTGGTGCGCGAGGCGCTATATTGGGCCCGCGCGGGCAGAGCAGCGCGCGGGTACTGTAGTAACGGACTTACGCTAACTTACAATATAGACAGAACCTGATGGCATATTTACAGTTGCCCGCCATTTTAAATTTTTACAACTAAAACAAAATGGCGGCATTTGTCAATTTCGAAGAGATGTCAGTCAATAATAGCTTAGTTTTAGTAATCTTACTTCTTAAAAAGCGTGAAACTTGTTGTAAATTTAATTAATTAATCGAAATGGATGTGACAATCCACACTTATAATTACAGTGGGTTTAATTTTATAAGGTGTGTAGTCACGCCATCTATCGTAAATATTTGTTACTATTTTCCAATAGATAGATAATATACACCATCAGGTTCGATAAACGAGTCTGGTCTGCAATCATAGTACAATCCATACAATACATGAAATAAAACCGAAACCATACATACATTTGTTATTTGAACAATATTTACATTTATTACAATGGATGTATTGTGTATGATGTGTACTATATTGCGACAGACCATACAAATGGGAAATGCAACACTTATTCTAAGTAAAAAAGTGTAGTGAATTATTAAGTGCATATGTACTGCATAGTGAATGCGTAGTGCAACTAGGCAAAAACAAAAAAAAAAATCAATTTGTATTATGTACTTTTTGCGTACAACCAGTATGTATATATTGGAGTCAATTCTGAAAGTTTTTGTCTCTAGTCAATAATCACAATTTCATATTGCTTCCTATGCAATGAGGAATGGCAAATTAATGGCTTATTCGATGGTAAATGGTAAACTATAAAACATGCCAAAATGCCAGACATCTCGTAGGGTACATTGCATTTCTCACAGTATCCCTCATACATTACCATTCCTGAAGCCTAAAGAGGTATATATTAAAATAATTTTTTCCAGGATTGGTACGAAATTCAACAGATATGAGTGCGTACTGCTTAGACGTTTGCAGTATATAAAACATTCACTAGAGCATCAAATAAAAAATCCAATTTTACGCAATGATTATTACAGAATTGACCCTATTTTCTGTCCAAGTACAAACTCTACTCGGCCCCAAAACATAGTCCGGATTAGTCTGGACCAACTTTTTTTTACAACACGCCCATGATCACCCGCAACACCAAAGGCATTGCAGGTGTGCTGCCGGCCTTTTAAAAAGGGAATATGCTCTTCTCTTCTTTTAATACAATAGCGTACTTCAACTATCAAGTACATACGCACTGAATAATCTAAAAATATCACATGTGCCACCCAATAAACATACGACCCTGCAGGTCTAACACGTGCGGCTCGGGGCTACGCGACGAAGTCTAGCGGCCTGTTGAACCCGCCCTTCCTGTTCATATACTGGCGGTACTTACGCTTAAGTACTACGTGCACCTCGCCCTCTACGTTGTCCTCGACTTTCTTGCCCTTGGTCGAGTCGAAGCCGCAGAAGCCCATCACTTTGAGCATCTCCTGCTCCTCAGGCGACTTGCCCTCGAGATCGGCGGGCGTGACTATGGGCCGCTCCCCGAAGGTTTTCTTCGGCTTGGAGATGAACGAGGAGGTCGGGCCGGGCGAGAGGGAGCGCGAGCGGCGGCGGCGCGGCGAGGGGCTGCGGCGGCGCTCGGCCGAGCGGCGGCGGCGCTCCGGCGAGCGCGACCGCGAGCGCGGCCGCCGCCGCTCGCGCTCCCTGTCGCGGCGCTCGTCCCGCCGCCTGTCGTCGCGCCGGCGCGGGCTTGGCGACCGGCCCATGCTGACAAGCGACAAATACTTTAAGTGATACTGTCTAACTATCTATCTCCAGTGGGAAAGGGATTGTTAGCAATGGAGTTTGACAGCCTCATTGCTAACAATATGCCCTATTATGTCGACCTGCACGCGATTGCCCCTGGAAACCATCCTGACTGATTTATTGTTGAATTCATCATGATGGGCCAACTGACCCGCTTCATCCTCGCTTATTATGTGCCCCTGGTGTCCCGCCAGTATATACTGACAGCGTAGGCGGGGTTACCATTCCATCTTCCTATCCCAATTATTATCTGCAGTCGGCATAATATGGTTTTATCCATATTACTAAAGGATTCGGCTTATAGTTTTATAACCGGCCGCCTGCCTGACAACTACCCTCTTTAGGAATGTATTTGTTGGTTGTATTATACCACCTACAGTTTGGAAAAAAGCATTGAGGAAAAAAAGGAAGGGAATGTTTGAAATTCTTAAAGAAAATTAGTAAACAAGAGTAATAAGGGACTTATGTAGGAAAAAGGGGGACACTGCAGTTGCGGAAAAGACTGGGACACTGCAGTAACTTGGGATTGCATACCCATAAGCCCTTATTTTAGAATTGGACAGATTTCTATAGAAGAACACCCCTGATGCACTACCATACAATACTTACCATTCCATTATCCTTTAAAAAAAAATTAAGTTATTCAAGAATTGTTTTAATTATTTATTTTAATTTATATAGTAAATTTATATTTAATTATGGGACGTTACATATGTAACGTCCCATATCCTTTGTCATTCACGATCCCGGGACTGTATTCTCTAGCTGTAGCCCATTCATACATAAACATTATACCTTTGGAAAACAAACTTTATATCTTAAAAAGATAAAAAAAATCACTACAAACTTAGAATTCCTATCAAAAATAGGTAAACTTTAAAAAAAAAAGCGAGTATAAATTATTGTTATTGACAGATGAACTTTTTTTGCATGAAAAAGCCTATCTCTTAATAATAATAATATCTCAATAACCCTACTTTTGTGGTATCATAATGACATCTAATCGTACCTAGCACCATTTTCGAGATATATCGAATTTGTGACTCAAAAAGAAAGATAGACTGTGTGGAAGATGACATGGCTTGAATGGGAATGGATACCGAGATAACTGTAGAGATGAACGGAACAGGAAATAATATTTATTCATACACTAGCTTCAAACAAAACGAGACTTAGTTGCGATAACCTAACTTTATTGTTAAAAATTAAAACCTATATAGCTACATCCTCTTTCAACCCACACTGCCCCTAAAGGTATCCAATGTACCACTTTTGTTTATTTCTTAATTTGCCTTTAATTTTAAACCACTTCCACGACATTACAGTTTTTTTTCATGCTTTTTCCAAATTATAGTACGTACACAATATTTTGGTATTTTTATAAAGGAAACTTAAAGAAGATATGTCAATGTAGATTAAAAATTGATATTTACCTTATTATCAGGTCAACAGTTTTAAAATTTTCTTTAAAAATAAATAAAAATAACGCAACAAATAATTTAAATGAACGCCATTTTAGAAACTACTTTTTTTTTAAACCGTTTACTTCTTTGCGTTTCGTCTTCAATCTTTCTTAATTAAACGGTTCTACGAACTCACGTATTAGGAATGGTAACGAATTTTAAAATTATTTATAAACAAAACTAAATTATTCACAAATTAAAAGAATTATAAACAACATCTAATAAATTATTGTAAAAATCTTTCTTTTGAAATGTAACGTCCGTAATGACCAACAAATTATTTTATGATATACAATTACTTTTTAAATTATATCAACAATAAAATAAAGTATTTTATTGTTGATATAATTTAAAAAGTCTTATATCGTCTTGTGCCAAATAATGATTCATAAAATAATATATAAAATATCAAAATACCTATGTATGCATAAAATGAAACGGAAACCTCATAGTGTTTACATTTTATTACAAATTCCCAGTAATCAAGAAAATAAGACACGAAATGATTAGAGGAGATTTAATTCTATTATTGAATTATGAAGTAACTATAATCAACAATAAAAATTATATTACTAAATCAGTAAGTCAGACATTTCTTATCAAGCATAAAAACTACAGTATAAGAAATCTTTATGTAGTAGTTTATTGCTCATAGAAATTTGTTGTCATGCCATTTACATTGCAACAGTTGTCAAGTACATTTTCAACCTACTTCAAAATGAGAAAATTCTCGATTTGAATATTCCTGTTTTAAGTTTTTGATATAAAAATAGTTTCTAAATAATTTTTGTTGCAAATTTACCTAATTTTGAATTTTTTAAATTCTAAATTAATTTCTAAATTCGACGCGACTAACTTGATTGAATTGAAATTAATAAGTTTGATTAATTTCAGTCGAGTTAAGTAAAGTGTTAGAGTCTAATCGTGTTAAGCAAGTTTGGTCAAGTTTGGCTAAATTTTATCACTTTATTCAAAATTGACCTGGTTTAGCTGAACTCGACTAAGTTTTGTCAAGTAGGGCTAAATTTAGTTCAATTTGGTTATTTAAATCTACGGCGATATTCGAACAAAGTGGCCAAATTCTACCTAATAGATTGACTAAATAAGAATATATTACTTGGCCAAAGTTTAAACACATTATTGTTTTTCGTAAAAGTACTGTATGAAAAATAGTTTTTAAGTAGTGATAAAATTTTGGTCGTATTTTAATTGTGTACGATTGCATTATTTATGTAGACGGTTATAAAGCGCAAAATATTTATTGTTTATTGACGGAAATGAAAATTTAAATAATTTTATTGTGGTGATTTCTAAATTTCATATGGCAATAACTCTTCTAGCGCCATCTGGCCTACAAAACGTGATAGTCGTTAGCAGCGACGCCGCGGTGAAAAAACGAAACTCGCGTCGACATCGATCTACTCGTGTGGCGTGCGGACTATATTCTTTTTTACGAACGAAATATTGAAATAAACGCGTTTCCCCGTAATGTATGTGGTGCTAGTGCATTAAAATATAATTAAAAACGGTCTGTGCGTGTAATTCTAAATAATGTTACGTCATTCCCGTGCTTAGTGTTAGTTACTTGGCTTCTGTTAGTGAGAAGTGGTTTTGTGAAGTGACTGAGAAATATTCGACATTATCACCTCTCGGAACAGTCTGCCGGTACGTATTGCATGCAATCAGCTTTCTTTTGTATTATTATGTTTACGTTTCCAGTTAGAATGCGGTCATCCAAGCGTGAGAAACTATATTAGCTTTGTACATTTAGGGTGTGTCTGTCTGATCTGATTCTTCTATAACCAAATGGGGTCGCCGTTTTTTTTTTTTTTCTCAGACATATTATCGGAGCTTAGACGCCGGGTTTAAATGCCTTCTTATAGGATAATTTTTAACGTTCTCGATACGTGATGAGCAATAAATGTTCTCGTTTCGGAAATGTGTATTTTTTTTATTTTGTTAATCGAATAATGGTTAAATTATTACAATTAACATGTTATTTAGTCATATGTATCGTTATTTTGGGCGTGACTGCGATCAATTGCCTAGATATTATTTATCAAGTCAATATAAAGGATGATGTCACCGGGCGGATGGCTGTATAACCCGACCGAATCTGATTGACCGTTATCAGATAGTCTATTCGTGATTCAATGCGCTTTTTCACTCGTACGCTTGATAACTAACTACACTACATGAAACTAAATTGGTGCCTGATAGCCGATACAGATTCGTATGTCTTTGATTGAGTCAGATAGTGATTTTTAACTGATTCAAATCTTGAAAGTCGTTTTACTATTTATGCATATTATTTAAAATACCTTTGCCTGATGGCTCAATTTTTAATTAAAAATATATTATTCAAATTGACATGTGACATTGACAGTGATTTTAGCGGTAAATATGCAAATGTTTATTTATTTAGAAAAGTGCATCTTCCTGCGTAAACCTACCTTTGTCACCTCAGTCTGTTATTGTTGTTTAATTAATTAAATTAAAAAAAAAAACTTACTACCTAAGTTGGTATCAATTTTCATAATAAAGTCCAAATATGACTTTTTTATACTTGAATATATATAGATAGATAGATACCCTTTATTGTTCCCTCCATAAGATTACAATAGTAAACTTATTATAGATACAAATTAATTAAGGAAAATATATTAATATAATGACTGTACATATAAGTATATTATGCAATGGTGTAAGGATTCAAGTATGTGGAAAGATTTGATTGATCCATTATGGTCAGATCAATTATTTTTTTAAAAAAATATTTATTTATTTATTTATTTCTTATTGCATTCCATAATATAATTAGTAGATAACATTTCAATTATGGACCCTGTTGGGCACAGCAAGTAGGAGAGAGGAGGACAACACTTTTTTCATTTTCGAAATAGTCTAAGGCAGTGATTCTCAACCACTGTGCCGCGGCGCTTTCTTCTTTGATTCTTCAGTGGATAGCCACATTTCAGATTGTATTATGCAAAAAACTCCATCCCTTAGCATAGTTTGCTGTGTGACTTAAAATTTTTGCGTAAGGCCAACTCTGTAGGTCCATGTTTTGAGTCTGTAGGTCGTAAACTCTTTATTGCATATAATAGAGATGTATACAAGAAGTGTTTATACAGAATGTGCATATACAAAAAAGCGGCCTTATCGCTAAGAACAGTAGAGATGTATACAAGGAGTATTTATACAGAATGTGTGTATACAAGAGGCGGCCTTATCGCTAAAAGCAATCTCTTACAGACAACCTGGTCAAACATTTACAGTAATATTGAAGTATTTTGGTCCTGAGTATGTGGCAAAGTTTTCCAAAATCTGCCCAAACTAAACTGGATTTGTTGAATTCTCGGTTGAAATTGAATTTACCCATATATTTACAAGAGAGTAGACTTTTTTTTTTAATTTTAAACTACTCGAGGCAGCAAACAAGACAAAGTACCGTAAGACATAATTTTATTATGAAAAACCATAGATTGCGAAGATTGTTTTTTAATGTAAAATATAATCCCATTGCTACAATATACCCAACCAGATCAGAACCTCCTCGCGGTTCTCTTTGAAAACTATCATGGTTAATTCCCAATGAATTCATCATGATGTGCTAACTGGCCTGTTTTCATTCTCATCTATCGCCTTTCACTGGTGCTCCGCCAGCGTATCCCGTTAGCACAGGCGGGGTTACCATATTGTTTTCACCCATCAAAAAAAATACAATATAATATATAAATATTGCAGTACACTCTGTTACGTGCATGGTACTGCTCATGTGTATATGCGACGGTTACAACTTTCCATCAGGCGGGCCGTCTGCTTTGCTGCCCAGGGAAATACTAATAAGAGAGTTAATTATGTAACTATATACCTACCGCACCTTGAAGCGTATAAATAAAAAAATATTACGTTATCAATGATAACGTATCATTACGTTATAATTCTAAGGTTATCTCTTATTAGGGTTCCGTATTTTTTTTTATATACAACTTAGAATGGCTAACAAGCTGACGGCCCACCTGATGGAAAGTGGTAACCGTCGCCTATAGACATGAACAGTACCGTGGACATAACAGAGTGTACTGTTTCGCCCATGATACCCCCCATGCGTTGCCATTCCTGAGAACTCAGGTGTTATTCCTCTGTACCGTGTAAATTCACGCCATATCCTACCGTTCAAACCGAAATACCGCCATGCAAACACAACTGCTTCACGGTTGAAACACGAATGGAACAGAGGTGGCCAAGCAAACGACTTTTGTACAAAGTCTCCCTTTGGTGAGGGAGATTTTCATTGCAAAACATATTTATCTTCACCACATCTGCCCTTCATACGCTTTCTGTTCCCACCTAATGGTTAGCTGGTAGAGAATGCCATACGCTTTCGAGGGAGAACCACGTCGTTGTGGACCTAAATAAGAGTGTATTGCTAGCAACGGGTCAATTAGACTCGACTACTAGCAATCCCTTTCCCCCCGACCTAACTGGGTTACCCTATTCGTTAATAAAAAAATTTACCAGAGGGAGACTTTGTACAAAAGTCGATTGCTTGGTTACATCTGTCCCATTCGTGTTTCAACCGTGAAGCAGTTGTTTGCATGGCTGTGTTTCGGTTTAAATATGGTTTTGGATATGGCGTGAATTTATTGGATATAGAGGATTAACACCTGAGTTCTCAGGAATGGCAACGCACGGGGGGTATCATGGGCGAAACAGTATAGTCTATTATGTCCACGGTACTGCTCATGTTTATAGGCGACGATTACCACTTTCCATCAGGTGGGCCGTCAGCTTGTTTGCCATTCTAAGTTGTATATAAAAAAAAAAGTATTCTGTACGGAACCCACGTCAGCACAAGTGCTATTAACGCATGTCTCTCTTTTTTTTAATCGCCTACATTGCTACCGTGCAGTCGAGTAAATTGATAAGTGTCCTAAAAGAGACCTTGGTTTGTTTTTCAATAATTATAGACGAAACATTTGGCTTGAATACAGCGAGTGCTGTGGTGCAGCTTGGAAGTTCGTTTTCATTACACTAATATAAAAAAGATGAAAGATTTGTATTTTTGTATGTATGTATGTTTGTAATGAATAAACACAAAAACTACTATGCCAATTTCAAAAATTCTCTCACCATTAGAAAGCTACATTCACCCTGAGTAACATAGGCTATATTTATTGTTAGAAAACATTAGGGGATCCTTACTAAAACTTTAGTAACGTAACTCGAGGTGTAATAAAAATGTTATAAAATATCTTTGGTCGCGTGCGCTGCGGAAACTATTGGTGATAGAACAAAAGTATGTTCTACAATATTGAAGGAAATATCAATAGCTACAAAAAAAAAACTCATTCTGTCTCACGGACTCGTTAGCAATGTCGATTCTATAGACGAATTCGCTTGCCACTCGTCTAGAGGGCGTGCTTGTCTTTCCCATTCACCTCCATGTCCACATTTCGTTCTGTTTGTTTCATAATAAATGACGCTGTAGCTGTACTGTACAGTTGTGCTGTGGACACAGCGTCGCTTTCCGCGAACCGTGCATGCATCACGTTGGATCAATTCCAAATGATGTCACGTGTCATTGTACCTACAGCTATCGCTTTCGATGCATCATTGAATCGCTAATAAGTATTTTTTTCTAGCTATCATCGGATTTGCTAATACAAAACATGTTGACTTCGTTCCGAAATGAAAATTGACTGGCTGATTTCCAGGGGTTTCCAGGGGGACCATCTGGAAGTTGACCTGACAGGGTATGTTCCCGGCAGTGGGACTGGTAGTTCGCGTTATCGAATCAAAATGCTGATTTTGCTGTAGTGTCCCTGACACTACAGCGTAATGCTGAGCACGGACCTCATTTTGCAGACGTTGCGACGCACACACACATATACACACTCACACACACACACACACACACTCACACACACACACACACACACTCACACACACACACACACACACACACACACACACACACACACACACACACACACACACACACACACACACACACACACACGCAAACTCATTTTGGATGAAACTGTTAGGATACAAATTGTTTTTTTTTTTTATTTTATATTCTTTTTATAATCTTGTATAAATAATTTGTGTGTAGTTTCTTTATTATAATTATTAATAATTGTTTTTTGACCCCTGTGTGGGTGTAATCGTATTATTTCTGTAAAATAAAGTTTCTTTCATTACTAACGCCCTTTGTAATTTTGGTGGGAAAGGGATTGCTAGCAATGGAGTTTGACAGCCCTATTGCTAGCAATATGCCCTATTAGGTCGACCTCCGCGTGGTTCCCTCTGGAAACCATCGTGAACAATTCTTGTTGAATTCGTCACGATGGGCTAACTGACCTGCTTCATCCTCACCTATCATCCTTCACTGGTGCCCCGCCTGTGTATACCGATAGCGCGGGCGGGGTTACCATACCATTATCATCCATTAAAAAAAAACCCCTTTGTAAAATCTGTTACAACTTAAAGTTAAAAGTTTATATATATTTAACCTCACGTCGATTTTTAGAATGTACAAAAGGTAACCGTGAGACGGAGAATTGCGCAAATATAAAAGTTCAAAGTATGATCATTTCGCGCCGTGTAACCGGTTGTGCCACTTTAAAGTGCTCTGCCCACCAAACGGACCAAGATAT